CAAACCACGCCTGGGCGGCCTGTCCTCGTCCCCTTCACGCTTCGGCGGCCTGTCCTCATCCCCCTCACGCCTGGGCGGCCTGTCCTCTGCTGACTCCACCGAGGGACGCTCCTCACGCCGGGGCAGGTCATCCCGCCGGGGCAGATCTTCTCCTCGCCGGGGCAGGTCATCCCCCCGTCGGAAAGGTCTTTCATCGTCTCTCGCATCCCGACGCCAGTCTCTGTAAAACCACAGGGAATGAGCAAAAAGTGGAAGCTGACGTCCAGGAAAGCTTTACGTATTAGATTAACAGTATAAACCCCTCAAGGCCGTTTCTGAATGGAACTCCCTGATGCGTGGCTGCAAACACTTCTACAGAGCTTTCAGTTTTCAAATGCACTTTCCAATCGCCTTCATTGCTATGGGATAGTGGTAGGTCACCATCCCTACAGCTTTACCATCTCCTTCAAACCGACCTTTGAAGAAGATGTTGGGTATCTGCAGCAACACAACAGAGAAGTTTGGCTTCTACACCAAGCCTTGTTTGAACTAAGCCTTAAAGAACCAGTATTAAAAAAACCCCAAACAAACAGTCATGAAGTAAGTATCCCCCTTCTTCATGCACATCCCAGCCCTGAGTCCTATCCCTGTTTTCATGTGCTTGGGCACACTTCCAGCCCAACAGGTTGGCAACACATTCACTGACAAGCACCACAGCTAGAGAGGGCAGGACAAGGTAGTAAACTCGTGCCGCAGTGCGCTGCCACTGCCCAGCAGCAAGCAGGGTGCCAGGCCCTGGTGGGCCAGCAGCACGTGTATGGACTCTCCTTTTTAGGATGTATGTGGGAAGTAAAGAATTGGTGGGCATTTTCCCCGGGCGACTTAAGTCATCAGCTGATCTTCAAAATAGGTTTGGATTTGTCACACTGAGAAGATCAGACACTGCTGAACAACGGATAGAGCCTTCCACTCCTGTCAATTCTCTGGACACACCATTTAGTTTCATATCTACAGGACTTTACACATACATTTAGACCATAATCTTTGGCTTTGTCACCTGATTATCTCTACTTCAGGACATGAAGAAAGCTACTTCCTCAGCAGTAAAAGTGAATTGTAGTGATGTACTGGTACCTGATTCTTGGCAAGAGAAGAGAAGCTGCACTGGGGATGAATCTCATGGATTCAAAAATAAAACCAAACCAAAAACCTCCCACAGGTTTATAAATCCACTGTGCTACTAAAATGTAAATAAAAGGAATAGCAATGGCTTGCTACAAAACAACAGATGTAGGACTCCAAGAGGTGAGAACAAAGAGGCAACAGTTAGTTTGTGACAACTCTGCATCTCAAGAATTTTTAGGAGTTGTGAGTAGCGTATTCCCTGCTTTTGGAAGAATAAGGGAGGATGCAATTACCACTGAGGTTTGAGATAAAAACAAGACATGGAGGTTGTTAACTTCCATTTAGACTCAAATTGGATAATATTCTCGTTTGAAAAATCTGGTTATTTTGATGTAAAAGACATCTAGAGAAATGTTAAGAAGAAATGTATGAAGTTCGTCAAATTAAAATGTACTTAATTCATTCATACTTAGGTACCATTTCAGGAATTTAAAAATAGATTTAAAAATCCTAAACTATTACCACAGTAATTTTTAAACAGTGACTTGCAGGTGAAGTTATGCCTCTGCTGTTTTTACACTTTATTTTCCTTTGTTTGACAACTTTAGTGTTCACATGTCAGCTTTTTCCCTTCCTTCTCTCTCAGAAATTCAACTCCCTCTTTAAAAGTTTACCAAAATTAAGGGTCAAAGAGCTGCTGACAAATTAACAAGAACAAAGGGATGCATGAATATTAAGATTACTACTGAATGGTAATCACTGGCAGTAATGCAATCCAGTTTCTCTTATACAACTCATTTTTCAATAACCTGTAAAAACCCTCCAGGCAGACCTAGAGGAGCTGAAAGCATGCAGACAGCTCTTCCAAAGCAAGCAGAAATCTGCTGGTAAAGTTCACACTACAGTGTCTACCACCGTTACAGGTTTATAACCTCTTTTGTGCTTGTCTTAACTCAGGCACAAACAGCACAGACAAAAGAGAGGTCAACTCCCTTTCTCTATGCATGTTGGATTTTTACTATTTCTCAACCATAAGCACATATGCATTTGTTGATCCTTTGGGACAGCAAATAATTAATGAACTCTGCTAATTCTGACAGCCTGCAGCACTGCCCTGCCACTTTTAATGCATACCAGGTCTACACAAGTTGCCATTTCAACATTTCAAAGAGCAAGTGTTCTGTTCCCAACAGCACTTGATGGATTTTCTGTGAGCTGGAGAAACACTAACAGGTACCACCATGAAATAGTTTTTCTACTAAATCAACTGGCTTTTAATTTAACTCCTACATAGCACTCCTAGGTTAACCTTTTCCCTCCAATCACAATATTTATAACATTATTTTATGTCAGGACTGACTTGCTCCTCTTCCTTATAAAATTTTTTACATCAATTTTATTTTTCCTCTTTAGTTATAACTACACTTTTCTTGCATAGTGAAGGAACAAATACAACACTCACAGTCTAGTTATAATACCAACTGAAGGTGGATAGGGGCTAGTAAAGAGTGCAGAATTACACCTTTCTTCTGCAGTTAGGTCTAAGCATCATAACTTTTACTTTGTTATTTCCTAAGTTCAGCAAAAAGAAAATTATTGAGAAATGTTGCTTTACTTAAAATTCCAGAGATAGTAATTTTGACTGCTATCAGTATTTCCTTTTAGTATTCTTCAGTATACTCCTTTTAGTAAAAGGGAGAAGTTTTAACAAACGTGCAATGCAAGAATCTAAAATGTGCCTGATCTTAACTCCTCAGCAGTTACTTGGCTCAATTTCTACAAAAAGTTGAATAAGAAATGACTAAGACAACACTAATTCAGAAAAACCCTACACTATAATGACTGAAAAATTAATATGGGTCACCTATATCAATTCTGTGTGAAAGAAGTATCACAGTGAACCATATAAACAGATGCTTTAAACACTTCTGCAATATGTTAATAGTTAAAAGCTTCAGCCAGGACTTCCATCCAATTTTTGATTTTGCAACTCAAGAGAAACTGGATTGCTACCACGAATGACAACACAGCTTTTAATGAATGACTGCAAAGACTATTTTGTCTATTGAGAGATCATACTTCCAGCATGTTAGAAGAAATTAGTGTATAGAGAGATAAAGGGTAAATTAATTTGCTCCCATTGGTGTCAGAGTAAGCTGTAATGGATTTAAATTGGTGCACTAGAAATTAGGGTTGGACATTTATAAAAATCTATCTACCAAGAAGGCTAATTAGACAGTAAAACATACTGACAGTTGGAACAAGCAGTGCTATTTCCACCAGCACAGGCTTTTAAGAACCACTAGATATGTACCATCAGAAATATTCCAGGTACAGTTTGGATTTTATTTGGTTGGCTTTTTTAAGTACAAAGTAGCTCCAGCATATTCCTCCTCCAGAAATCCTTCCTTCTCTGTTCAAGACAGTCTTTCAGAACTTTGTTGTAGTTTATGGTATGTATTTTCTGCTCTGTGACTCATCCTGGGACTTGAATAGTTTAAGACTCAGAATTTTGACTTTCCTGTTCTTATGTATTACTGTCAGTCTTCTACAGGGAAAATGGCAGTTTGATCTCCCAGGAACCCCACATTTGCTTGTCATCCTTCCTCATTCTGTATTTATACAACTGACACCAGTGTTTGGGCGGGACAGAAATTTTTAATTTAAAAAAGAAACCAAGTAAGCCAATTGTTTATCACATGCAGAAGGTGTCTGTTAGCTTTCACAAATCTAAGCCAAATAAAACAGGAATGTTCTTTAAGTGCAGTTCCAAGATAAAACCTCTCTCTCAAGATCCTTACAAAACAATTACTTAATAGGTCTTTTCAGAGATGTAAAGGCATGAGATATTACTCAGTTAGTGCAGCTTTAGCAGTAATAACCAAAAGGAGCCCATGTATTTTCAGGCCAATACAACTGGTGCTGAGTAACCCAGTGATTACCTTTCCACTGGTCCTCGTCGCCACTCAGATTCTGGCTCACCACCTCTTCTCCAGGAGCTTTCAGACTCCCTGTCACCCCAACGAGATTCCTGGATGTCAGAAGAAATTAGAAACATTCTCTCTCACTACTTCAAAATGAAGATTTTCAACATATAATTTACTCCTTTCAGAGGATACTACATCATTAAAACTCACTTGTTACACTGTAGAGAACATGGAACTATCAGAGTTTGTGTAACTTAAGGACAGTTTTGACTAACTTTATAGTTTCTAGAAGAGTTTGAAAACCAGTATGGTTCCCTTTGTGCCACATACTTTACTAATAGGGTAGGACATACACAAATAAACTAAATTGATTATGAACAAGTGTATGAACAAGTTACAGTGAGCCAGAACTACCACCACCTGTTAACACAAAAAAGAGGTTCTACCAGTTCCACTTTCCTGCTGCTTAACAACAGTAAGAATGAATTCAAAGAATTATTTGCTTTTGTGTTTTCTAATCAGATTAGAAAATGTAACTGAATAAACTGAAAGCTCTCTGTAGCAAAGACTGTTTTGTTCTGAGGACCTCAGTGCACAGAACATGTGAAGTATTTGTGGTTCACAGGGTGGCTTAGATACAGGACAGAGCATAATCAATGTTACTTTTTTCTCCCCATTGCTGGGCAAGGACAAGCCAACTTAAACTTTCTGACAAACTACTCCTAAACTCTGTTTATTCCTTAATTCCACTAAAAGGAAAGTAGGTAAACCATATAAAATACCCAAATTCACAATCACAGGGACTCTTTTAAAACTGCTCTTCCAAGTGTTTTCATTTGTCAAAGTCTAAGCTTCAATATGAGCACATAGAGAGGTTGCACAGGGTCTTGTATATCCACTACTCCGTGACTGCATACTTATATGCTTTGCAAAAAAAAACAAGAAGGGTGGGCAAAGAAAGAATTCCAAGAGTGCAAATGGTATTTTTCAAGTGGCACAGGTATCTCGCTCAGACCTGACCCAGCTTTTCCATACAGTCAAGTGCCCGTGGCTAGCAGTACCTCTTAAGTCAAAAGTTATTTACCTCACAGGCTATCAAAAAAATTTTTACAAGCTCTGACCACTTATCTCCATAGTGTTACTCAGTGAAGCATGCACTAAAGACAATGGCTATAATGGATGAAATTTAAAACTAGTTCTCATATCAGTAAGTTCTGTATAAGTGGCAGTGTAGGTTTGTGGTACTCAGTTACATTCTTTAAAGTCAAACATCTATTTGCAAATAACTTATGCTTTGTTTCCTGTTCGACTGGGATAATGATTTTCCCCAATACTTGTATTTGTAAATGGGAAGTTGCACACACCTCGTTTTTATGTTTCTGTGTATTTCTTACACAACTATGCTTTTTATGTTTAGTCTGGGATTTTCCTTCAGTATCTACTCTAATACCTGACTTGGTGACAAGTCACTACACTTGTTTCCAATACAGCTTTCCTTCTGTGTTAAAGAAAATTGTATTCCATCACCTTTTCCATCTGCCTTTAGTTTTTAAACAGTTCGGGGATCTTAGCAGTTTCTTTGCTTTACTTTGTTAGTGAACTACGGATTTGGGATCCCAAGAGTGAGCTGAAACTAAGTGACAATAACTGAACTATTAACCCAGCCACTTAGGCCCCATTAACCCGTGCTTTTGCAATAGCACCATCTTCTAAATCTACAGAAGGAGGAGCAGTGGAAAATAAAAACCCCTCAGGTTATCACCTACCTTTCTTGAGAACGGGTCATCCAGGCCTCGCCGCTCCTCTTCCCGGCGCCGCTCTCTCTCCTCTATCTCCATCTCCCTCTGGCGCTTCTTCTTCTCCAGCTCCTCCAGCTTCTTGACTCGCTCCTGGTACTCCCGCTGCTCCTGCTCCCGCCGCTCGCGCTCCAGGCGCTCCTTCTCCTCGCGCTCTGCACGGGAGCAAACAAGTGGAACGTGTTACCAATACAAGTTCTGATACTTCGCTGTATCCCCAGGAGGGTTACAACATATACTCTCTCCCCCTTGACGACCCATAAAAAACAGAAAACCCAAGCATTTCACAGGATGCGTTTAACTAGCCACAGAAGCTGTTTTCTGGAAGTATGCTAACTTGAAAGCAGTAGAAGGAATCCTGGTACATCCATTAATGTGACATCTTGAAAAACAGCTAGTGAGAAAGGGAAGAAAATGTTCCTCTACCTGTACGTTACTTTGATGTACAGACCACAAACGTGCCTAGCTAAAATATCAGTAACTACCTCAAGCATGGTAGAGAATCCCTTCCTTAGAAAAGGTCAAACAGAAAAAAATCAGCTAGCAGTATCAGAAATTTGATATTCGCAAAGGTGCACAAGCCACAACTCCTGAGTTCTTGATCTGACACCAATGTTCTCTTTCTACTCTCTTTAAAATGTGCGCCAACAAGTGGACAAAGCTCAAACTAAATGTAAAATTGAGCCTTTCATTTTAGTACGCAGCGTCTCTTACTTTATCTCCTCCTCTATTCACGTGTGGGAGAAGGAGAGGGCAGGAAGCATTAATTTGCTTTCATTTTCCCTTCCTCCTACAAAGCTCTACCTTCATCTCCACACTGCCTGGGTAAGCATTCAGAAGGTGCATTAGATAAAAGGTAAGTACATTGTCTAACAGCAACAGTCTTCACCACTAACCAAAAATTAAAATATTTCCTACAATATCACGAAACGGGAAAACCAGTATTTAGCATTGCACACAACTGGAACAGGTCAAGGATCAAAGGATAAAACAGTGACGTTTGATTGTACCTTTAAGCAGCTGTTCTTCTCGCAGCCTTTGCTCCTCCTCCTCCTTCTCTCTGTAGTAGGTGATGCGTCTCTCCTCTTTGCGCTGTTTCTTGCGTTCCTCCAAGCGATTGCGCCTCTCTTCTGCCAGCCGTTCCTGGAACTGCTTCAGCTTGTCCTGAAGTGCAAAGAACACACATCAAAACACCGCAACTGTAGCATTTAGGAGCTAGACAGCTACAGGAACTGCTCAATAAAGCTGCACAGAAACACAAACCAGCTGCAACACATTAACTTCGCTCCACTGAAACACAACTTCACCTTTGCCAGTTCAACCTTGTCTGCAACTGATTTTGTGTAAGAAAACTTAGAACACATAAGAATACTTATAACACAATCACCATGCACAATTTTAGTCCTTCAGCTGCTAAGGATGAGGAAAGGAGTTACCTGAATAATAATTTACCTGTACCTAAAACACACTACCTAGAATTACCTATACTATTGTAAAGAATCATATGCATTATCTCTTTTACTTTTTTTTTTTTTGAAAACCGATTCTTACTGCAATGGAGCCAAGTAATCCAAGCTATGAATAGCCTCAGCAAAGGTGGAATTTTAAAAATGAAGCAAAGGTACACTTTGTTTGCTGACCTCATGGTCTAATTTTTTATTAAATTTTACAAACATAAAACACAACCTGAAGTACCAAATGCTTGAAGATTCACACAAAAAGATTAAAAATCCAACAGACAAGCACTTCTATTTCTCAGCTTAAATATTATTGTATTATTCCATCACCACAGGAAGTCCAAGTACTTGTACAGATAGAGGTTGTTGCTCATATGCTACCCAACAATTTCTTACCAATACCTGTGTTGAAGTAGTTTACCTGTTTTCTGTACAGACTGTCAAAAATGCTAAGTGATCATTATCTAGGAATAGGTGCAAGATTTTTTTTTTTTTTTTAAGTCAAACTAGAAAAGAAACAATTCCATAATTCTGAGCCTTTCTAGGTACTAATTTATTTCTAGTTTTCACGAAGAATCACTGGGTCACATGTTTAGCTCCTCACTTTAGGGGAATACCTTCTTGCAAATAAAATATTTGCAATAAAATATCTCACGTACCTCATAAATTGTTCGTCGTGATGCTTTGAGCCTGGCTTCAAATAGATCTCTATCCTCTAACATCCTTGAGAGTCTGCTCTTATGCTCAAGGGCTTTCTCACGCTCCAACTGCAAAGTAGTGATCTAAAAACAGAAAACACCAAGTATTATAAAGTAAAATCTTACTGTATCTTTGCATTTGGTCTACCCCAGCCACTAGAAAGAGCTATTATCTTGTCTTCTTGCAAACCCAAGACAGAAGATACTGCTGTCTGTCCACTACTAGCACAATGCAATTCTGAAGCTAGCACTTCAGTCTTCATAGCAATTTTTTCACTTCTTCCTTTGGATTGAGCTGGGGAAAAAACCACTGCAAAACCCATCTTTCTTTCACTGCTAACAGATTTTATTAGCTGAACAAAAAACTCTTACCCTTTCTTCCTCCTGCTGCTCCCACAGCTCCATGTCATGCACTCTCTGCTCCTCGTAGGCAGTCTTTATTAACGGGATTTCTTCCAAGCGCTTCGCTCGTTCAAAATAGTCGATCTAAACGCAGAGCACAACCGCCAGTGTGGCACAGGGCACAGGCAGCTCAGCCTGCAGCACCCCCCCAGGACACCCCAATGCCTGGAGACTTCTCCAGTGTATCACATGCATTTAATTATCACATGCATCACATTTTTTTTTAACTAAAAGACTGGGGGATTATTTTTTTCCCCTCACTTTCCCTAAAGTATTTTATACATGTGTAAACAGAATGTCATTCAAAAACTCGTAATTTTCTCCTGCAGTTAGGTTTTCTCTGGTGAAGAACTTTGTAAAAGGTCTTTTGGAATATCCAGCTTAGTTACACTAACCAGACCATCCTTACTTGTATGTTTGTTTTGTCAGCTTCAGAGAGCCCTGGCCTCCTCCTGAAGAAGCTGTGCTGCCCTTTCCAGACAGATCATATTTAGCCAGGTGATTATTAATGCTATAATTTCATATATTTTCTGCTACTTTGCCCAGTATGAGCATCAGGTGTACAGGACTGCAGTACAGAAGATCCTCATTAGAGCCTTCATAAGTAACTCGCCACTTTCTAGTGTCAAGCCAGTTTTAAGTGACCTGAATTACCAGCTGTACCATAAAACCTCCATTTCATTCTCAAATACTGCTGGAAGCCCTGTGTGAGTTTCACCTTGTGCAGGTTATCTAGTTCTATTTATGATGACAACATGTTCCTCACACTTTTACAGTTACCCAAATTTCAGGCAGATCCTATTCTGCCATCCAAAAGGGCTCTAGCAGCAGAATTTCCTCTGTTTCAGTGAGGACTAATACAACTAAATTTAGCTTCTCTGTAAAATAGCCTCATCTTCCATGAATATTTAATATTCTCTAAACATTTTCCAATTACAAGTCTTCCCAATCACAGCTTGGTTTATATCCAACTTAAAGGTCCTTTTTCAAACCAACTCCAGTAATTAGAACAGATCTGTGAACTGGTACTAGAATCTCAGCTTGTTTATCACATTTACCTTTTTTTAGTTTCAAACAATAACATTTTCAAAACCTATTTTTTATATATATCTCTGTAAAGGAGTTCACAAACACTAACTAAAGCATTGTACAGACATGAGTTTGTGCCCTTCCTACTTTGTACCTTTTTCTCCTGATTCTTCAGACGCTCCTGAAGTTCCTTCTTTTCTTTTTCAAGCTGTTCAACTTGTTTAGCCATAATGAAGTCAGGATCCAACTCTTCAAGATCCTAGATAGAACCAGGTAACATTATCAATACAAAATAAAATAAACGTAGTTTGTCTATTTAAGCTTCTCTGCAGTTTTCCCCTTAACTTATAAACTAATTTGCTTTAGAAACATTCTCAGTTTCTTTCCCTCTCTTCTGGGTAACTGTTAAAAACTCTGTAAAGCATTTGGATCTTGATTTTTAATTAGACATGGTCCAGGTATTATAAAATTAGATCTGCAGGCCTATTTTGTATTTCAGATATTGTTTAAGCAAGAATGGGAAAAAAAATAAAACAAAAACCAACTGGACTTAGATCGGCCAGGCAAAAACAGTCCTAGCCAAACTCAAAGTTTACTTACACTGTTGAGCTGATTAAGTATTTTAAGTGTCAACAGTCTCATTTTTGAGACAGTTTATAAGGCCAGTTACAGTACAAAGCTAGTAAAGAACATGAAATTCAAGCAGCCTAGCAACGTAACAGCAAAAGCATTAAAAAAGCAAATTCAAAACAAGACAGAACTTCAACAATAAGTTGTTTACCTCAATATCAATATCTTTAAATGCTTTGGCTCCCAGTTCAGTCTTCTTAATCTGCTCCAAGCGCTCACGAACAGTCTTCTTCTTGATCTGCTCATGCTCCTGCAGGATGCGCTCCTTCTCCCGCTCCTTCGCCTCCTGCCGCAGCCTCTCCTCCTCGGCCTTGCGGACCTTCTGCAGCTCCGCCTCCCGCTGCTCCAGCTCCTCCTTCTCTCGCTGGATGTTCAGGCTCTCCAGGCGCTCCTTCCTCTCCTCGATGGTTTGGCGACGTGCAAGAATACGTTGATGCTCCTTCCTTGAATTTTTTAAGAAGGCAGTGACTGCCAGCTGATGTTGTTCTTCCTTCTCTTGCTGAATTTCAATTAAGAATAAAATGTATATAGCATCACTTTAAAATGTCAGAAAGCACAGTAGATGCCTCTCAAAGAAAACTCAAAGTTCATTTTCTCTTCCAAACGTGTCAACTGCACGGAAATAAACTGTGGTGGCAAATCTCATCACTCACCCAAGTGGCACACACGGTCGTATCAACTGACTAGAAGCACATGCACATGGAGGAAGTTGTGAAAGAATATTCTCAGGCTTCTCAAGCATGGTAGTTTCACACTTCTTTCTGTGCAGAAGTATTGCACACCCATGTGCAACTGATATTTAAGGCTCTAACTGAAAAGGGAGGTTGGGAGGATCAATCTTGTGTGTCTCTGCATGTTAGCAAGTATAGCACCACCAGCACTGTATTTATGAAAGCTCCCTTGGTTTTAAAGCTTTGGTTTCTTCCAAACACACTAACGTAAGGAAAAAATACCCTAATTGACACAAAGGACTACCTGTGAGATAATAAACACTGGTGAGTCATAGAATCATAGAATCCTTT